ATTCAGTAGTGCAGCGGCAAGATGAATCGGACTGTGCACTTTGTGGATCATCGGGGTGTTTGATTCTAGGATGGTTATTAGTGGAACAATAGGATGCAGAATGTCATGAATGTTATTGTACTTGCGCCCACAAAGTATCATCTAGTAAACGAGTTTTTATATCTATATCCAACGACGCGACGTTGCCTTTTCGTGAACAACTAAAGTTTGAAGACTGACTTTTTTTAATATTAAGCTTTCCACGCAATAGAGGTGGCATCCCCAGCGCGTTTTACATGGTAGTTTCAAAATAACTTTACACTTCTTTAGTAGAAAAGATAAGATTTGGGATCGTTTTATTGCATTAACTATGTGTGTAGCGTGTGGTATAGGTGGAAAATTTAAGATATCGTTTCACAGAAGATGAGGAGTATGAGTCATGCAACCCAGTGGTACAATATGAGGATAGTCGTCTTGTAGAAGCCTAAATACCTTTTTCGTATTAGTCTTCGACTACCACAAGAAACTGTTCGGCGCCAAATTTATCAACAATCTTCTTTATTTCACTTTTAACATATTCTGCTGTGTGTTTACTAGACCCTGTAGAAATAAAATCCACAAACACCGGTTCGGGTTTTGACACCACAAAAGTTACTATGCCCTTATTTCGTAAATTACTCCTTCCATCACATTGCAAATGAAGAATTTCAGCCTGTTTCAGTTGCTGATCAATTATTTCATATCCGTTCATATTATTCTGTATTCAAAAATGTGTGGATAATTTCTTTCTGGTTGGCAAGGTATATGACGGTCTAAGTGTTTTAAAAAAGTTACATATATGGCAAGAGCTAGCGATTTATGCATTTTATCCTGTTTATAAAATTGATGTTACTAAAAAGCGCGTTTTCATTAACCAAGTTACTTATCAAATCACGCTTTGGGATCTCTCTGTCAGCAAAATATTCCATGGTCCTGAATCTAGATGCTACAAAGGAACTGGCCGATGGTGAAGAACACACAGAGAGGTCGTCTGAATCTGGTATTACTTGAGGTTCACAAGGACTATCAGTTGTCGGTTCTCGAACAGATGAAAGTGCAAGATCATTTGAAGCGGTGGTGGACCATTTCATCGATGTAATTCGTTGCGAAATTTTGGTTGATGCGTCTTTTAATTTCCACTGGGCACTTAACACATTGGTTAAATATGTGTATATATGAAGTACTCCTTACTGCAATATTTACAATTTATTGAATGTTTGTTAATAAATTGTAAATAGTTATTAATCTGAAATTTTGTTCTACTTTTTCATGGTCGTTGAATATCCACTGACCTGCCGGATTTTTTGTAGCGTTTTTTTCACTGCCTTCTTATCTTCGTCAGGAGCTTCCATGAAGAATGGTTTGAATCTTCTCCACCCCTAAGGAGAATTTTGTTCCACATTTTCTCCTTGTGATTATCTAGCATTTTCTTAACTGCCTTCGGTAGCTGATTGTATCCCTTTTTGTGTCGTAATAGATATTTTTCTCCTTTATTAACTTCGTCTCCTCAAAAGAAGAAAGTTTGTTTGCCTTTGTTGACCAAAACATGACTTTTGCATCTTCCATAGCTTTCTAAGTTAGTCCTTCGACTTCTAAATTTATATTCTGTTCCTCCTCTATATCTTTAACGATGTATACTTGTAAGATCTAGCAGAATTTTGGCGATTACTGGAAAGGGGTCATTTCATTTCAGATCCTTTTTGTTATGAATAAATCGATAACATCTCCACTGTGCTGGTTCCATGTTTTCGACTTCTCTGTTCTTGATAACATTTTTAAATTCTCTTGCCCTAGTGTTCTTTATGCGACTGCCTCAAGCTGAACTTTGTGCATTAAAATCGCCAGTTTCTCATGGTTACCTATTTCCATAATATCACCTTTGATAGCCTTATTTTGGCGGCTTCTCTGCCAAAATTGATTGCTTCCATTTCCGCTGATAAAGGGATCTCTCTTACCAGATATCTGGAAACTATATACTGGAAACTATATATATACTTTAATAATCACACGGTAGATGAAGATACTGTATTTGGCATTATCAGGTCAATCACCAGTAAGTCTGTTGGCTCTGATGGCATATCTGCGCAGATGATTGAATTGATAGTTCCTTATGCCCTTCCATATATCACACATCTCATAAACAGCTGCATAATTGAGTCACATTTTCCCTCGCAGTGGAAGTCTGCTGTGGTCATTCCAATACCGAAAATCGAAAAACCTACTGACTTTAAGCACCTGCGACCGATTTCTATTCTTCCTACCTTGAGCAAAGTACTGGAAAAAGTTATTTCCTACCAATTTAAAAACTTTATTATTTCAAATGATATATTACCAGACTGTCAATCGGGATTTGTGCCTGGACGTAGTTGCACAACTGCACTTTTAAATGTCACTGACGATATATTAAAGGCCAAAGACGGTAAAGAGTGCACCGCTTTAGTGTTGTTGGATTTTAGCAAAGCGTTCGATGTTGTTGACCATGATATTGTGCTGTCGATGCTTCACTATATTGGAGGCGGGGAGGAATTTATAAGGTTGATTAAGACGTATTTAATAGACAGATGCCAATGTGTACAGGTCAATGGCTTAATTTCTGAACCATTGAAGCTGAAGCGTGGAGTACCGCAGGGGTCGGTGTTAGGTCCTTTGCTGTTTTGTTTATACACATCTATGCTTCCAAAAGCTGTCAATTATTGTAAAATTCATATGTATGCTGACGACACTCAGCTATACTACAACTTTCCGTTTCGTGAATATGAGGGGGCAGCATGGAAAATTAATAAGGACTTAGCGAATGTCAGTGAATTTGCAAAGAATCACGCCTTGATATTAAACCCTGATAAAAGTGTAGTTATTCTGTTTGGCAGAAATGTGGAAGTCGAGAAATTGAAAGCTAATCTGATTCTTAGGTTGAACGGTTGCAATATACCTATTGTTGATCAGGCAAGGAATCTTGGGCTAGTTGTTGATAATGCCTTTAGGTACAAACAGCACATTACTAAAACATTAAGTGTTTGTTTTTTGAAATTAAAATTACTCTATTCTTTCAAAGATATTTTTAATTTAAAAATGAAAAAGGTGCTTTGTGAATGTTTTGTACTGTCTTTGCTTAATTATTGTATTCCTGTCTACTATCCATGTTTGGATTCCATGGATAGATTGAGAGTGCAAAGAGTGCAGAACGCTTGTATGAGATATATATTCAGAATTAAAAAATTTGAAAGAATCTCTCATAAGCTTAAAGAGTTAACTTGGCTGAATATTCACAATCGTTATACTCTACAGGCTTCAGTGCTGTATCACAAGGTTGTCACAACTGGCTCGCCTAATTATTTGAGTAAAAAGATTCAGTTTAGAGGGGATCTACACAGTATAAATATTAGAAATAAAAATGTTGTTAATCCGCCTGCTCATAGTACAGCTCTGTTTTGTCGTGCGTTTAGCTACTGTGCCTATAAGCTGTATAATTCTATCCCCGTCACCATTAGGGCCAAAAGGGAGGGTGCTTTCAGAACGTTATTGTTTAGGCATTTATTTGAGCGACAGTGACTTCTTGTTTGCTTTGTAGTGGATCAATCTAATTTTAATGCAAGTGGAATAATTTGTTTTTGTTTTATTTCATTATATTATTTTTTATTTTATTAGCTCATATATAAGATAGATTATAAGTGAAATGAAGATTATAATGCAGAATCAATTAATAGTTTTAGTTTTTAGGAGTAGGCATGTACTACGATTGAATAAAAGTGCAATTATTTTTAAGGTTAAGTGGAAGAGCAGAAGCGGGCCATATTATGGTCGCATTCTGAACTTCGCCTTAGGATTTCCACCTGTTTTGTATTTAAGTTATTTTTCTTTTTAAATATTGTTTTTTTTTTCTTTTTTGATTATCTTTATTTTGCATTATAGTAACTATAGTTACTATTATTATTGTTTGTTCTCTTTACTCTGGAAATAAAGGCAGTTTATTATTATTATTATTATTATATAGACTGCAAGGATTCCCCCTTTCCATCCCTTTCTGAAATATTTAAATCCTGGTATTTTACCGGATTGGTGGCAGACTTTTTGTTAATTCCGTTGAAGCTCCATGTAACCAGCGTGTTTTTCTGAAATAAAGTATCGTTATGTTTACTTATCATTCTTGATTTGTGCCACTATCATAGAGATCAACCCCTAAAGAATATCAAGCAACGCAAATGATCAACTTTTGATCTCCAACATCTTCGTCTTTGAGTGGGACAACGTCCTTCTATGCAGCGATCTTTTCATTAGACGCTAGTTTAATAGCATAAGACACTTTTCCATGCTTGACGAGTTCCCTCGTATTTCCACATCTCAAGACGTCGAACAACTTTCTTTTTTCTTCATTTTTCGTAGTGTTCACCAGAACTAACGGTAACTTCTTGTCTTATCATCCTTTTCACTCTATTAAAATAGAATCGTTTTTTTCCTCAGGTATTCTTCTATTTTCTCAATTTTGATTCTCTCAGGCAGAAACTTTTGATTAATACGATTTTGAACTCCTTGGAATTGATAGTAATGAAATTGTAATTTCATCACCTCGATTACTGATCTAAAGATTCTAAAATCTTTCGGTGTTGACGTGAAGATTCCCTTCTTTGTGTTAAAGTTATTTACTACGTTGATTCCAGTAGAAATTCCAGAACGTTTATATTATCTAGTGGAATTTGATGATTCATGTAATTAAGAGACATGAGAAGAAAGATAAGAAACCGCTAGATAACTGTAAGATATTGGTTTAACTATCGTTGTCGGTTTCAACGATTAAATTAAACGATGAAAAGAGTGCTCCAAATTAACATTAAATACTTCTCGAGATGAAACTAAATAATTTTGAAATATTTTTATTACTAACAAACTATTGAAATATAGGATACAAAATAAATTTTCTTGGAATTTTGATAACGTCGTATTCGCCGAAATATTTTTCGCGAATATAGAATCTTTTATCGATTCCCAGATACCGCTCATTGATAAATAAATTCCTCTATTTAATTGATATGTTATGTATACTTATAGTTTTGAAACAATTTTGATAATCTCGCATTGTAATGTTATTTGTCATTTCGACCAGTTTATTTCTGCGTTTAAAACGATTCGGTACAATTTTTCCATTTATTAAATTATGACGAAGAAAATGAAGCAAGATCAAGACGAGTAAGTCAGAATTAAATTTAAAATCTTTGAAATACGCTTATATTGTTTGTTTTGTCCCCATAATGTTATTTAATAGAGATTTAATAATCGCAACAGATGATATCCGAGTTACAACGGTAAAGAAAACATATTATTTTCAAGATATAATAAATCTATCTAACGTTAATGAGCTACCAAACTTTACTACTTCCTCACTAAATTGTTTAAAATATTGTAACATACACCTGAATATTTCACCCAGTAAAGGATTATTATCTCATCAATATAAATCAATGAGGAAGAACATCTTCAAAGTAATAGAAAATAATAGAAACGAGGAAGACTGTCAAGATCTATCAGAAGCAGATGGTGATTTTTATAAGGACATCTTAATAAATTCTACATTCTTTAAAACATTGCTAAAAAAACGTAAAAATTATCCATTAGAGACGCAAAATGTTACGTCAATAACGGGTAGAATAATGAGATGGGACGATTTAGAAACTCCAGCTAAGTTCACACAACCAGTTAAAAATCAATCAATCAACCCTCAACATCAATCATTGGCAAACAACCTGTTAGAAATAAAAGTTAAAAAGACGGGATCTTATCGAAATAACTCAAAAGTACTTACATACTATACACAATCGCCAAAAAATCGCGGAATCTTGCTTTTGGTTAATAACATTGACTTTAGAGAGAAAAGAAGGATAAGAAATGGCGCTATCGTTGATCAAGCAAATATTGTAGAACTTTTTACACAACTCGGTTTCGTTATTGTTGAAGAAAAAAATAAAACGAAATCAGAAATGCAAGAAATCGTACAATCGTTCGCTTCTAATCCAGATTTATATAAATACGATATGTGTATCACTATTGTTATGAGTCATGGTGGAAAAATAAATGGACAAACTGTGATCGAAAGTATTGATGAAAAAAATTTAAGTACCAAATGGATTGTAGAACAATTTTATGGATATAATTGCAAAGGGATGATTGATAAACCGAAAATTTTTATCTTTCAATGCTGTAGGTAAGTATTTTAAATCACAAAAATAAACCTCAATTAAAATCTACTCTCAATTCTATTGTTACTAGCATCTCTTTGGATATTATATTTAAATCATATTTATTATATAAAAATTAAAAATAGTTATAATGCTAAGTTGATTGAATCCTGTATTTTAATGCGTTTAGTGCTTGATCGAATTAAATTGATTCACATTAATTTCAGTAGTAAATTGTTAAATCAATAATCATCATGACATGATACATATGATAAATTGATGCTTAAAGATTCTAGTTTATGATGTGATTATAAAAACTATACGATAATATCGGTGAAATTTCCAGGAAAAATTGCTAATGGAGAAAATGTCAAATTTATAAATCAAATATAGGAAAATTTCAAAAAATCATATCAACCTTATTTTTAAGAATTATGATATGATATGTATGTTGAATTGAAGCTTAAATATTTTCATCAAGTTTATGATATAATATAAAATCTACAAGATAATATTATTGAAATTTCCAAATATAAATTATTAAAGGAGAAACTGTCCAATTTATAAATCAAAGTAATTAGAAATTTATCATATATCATATCAACCTTATTTTTAAGGATTATGATATGGTATGCATGTAAAATTGAAGCTTAAAGATTCAAGTTTATGATATGATATAAAGTCTACAAGATATATTATTGAAATTTCCAATAATAAATTATTAAAAGAAAATTTGTCAAATTTATAAATCAAAGTAATTCGAAATTTATCATATATCATATCAACCTTATTTTTAAGGATTATTATATGGTATGCATGTAAAATTGAAGCTTAAAGATTCAAGTTTATGATATGATATAAAGTCTACAAGATAATATTATTGAAATTTACAAATATAAATTATTAAAGGAGAAATTGTCAAATTTATAAATAAAAGTAATTCGAAATTTATCATATATCATATCAACCTTATTTTTAAAGATTATGATATGGTATACATGTTAAATTCAAGCTTAAAAATTGATATGATATAAAATGTACAAGATAATATTATTGAAATTTCCAAAAATAAATTATTAAAAGAGAAATTGTCTAATTTACAAATCAAAGTAATTCGAAATTTATCATATATCATATCAACCTTATTTTTAAGGATTATGATATGGTATGCATGTTAAATTAAAGCTTAAAGATTCAAGTTTATGATATGACATAAAGTCTATAAGATAATATTATTGAAATTTCGAATAATAAATTATTAAAAGAAAATTTGTCAAATTTATAAATCAAAGTAATTCTAAATTTATCATATATCATATCAACCTTATTTTTAAGGATTATGATATGGTATGCATGTAAAATTGAAGCTTAAAGATTCAAGTTTATGATATGATATAAAGTCTACAAGATATAATTATTGAAATTTCCAATAATAAATTATTAAAAGAAAATTTGTCAAATTTATAAATCAAAGTAATTCGAAATTTATCATATATCATATCAACCTTATTTTTAAGGATTATGATATGGTATGCATGTAAAATTGAAGCTTAAAGATTCAAGTTTATGATATGATATAAAGTCTACAAGATAATATTATTGAAATATCGAAAAATAAATTATTAAAGGAGAATCTGTCAAATTTATAAATCAAAACAATTCGAAATTTTTCATATACCATATCAACCTTATTTCTAAAGATTATGATATGGTATGCATGTTAAATTGAAGCTTAAAGATTCAAGTTTATGATATGACATAAAGTCTACAAGATAATATTATTGAAATTTCTAAAACTAAATTATTAAAAGAGAAATTGTCAAAATTATAAATCAAAGTAATTCGAAATTTATCATATATCATATCTATCTTATTTTTAAGGATTATGATATGGTATACATGTTAAATTCAAGCTTAAAAATTGATGTGATATAAAATCTACAAGATAATATTATTGAAATTTCCAAAAATAAATTATTAAAAGAGAAATTGTCAAATTTATAAATCAAAGTAATTCGAAATTTATTATATATCATATCAACCTTGTTTTTAAGGATTATGATATGGTATGCATGTTAAATTGAAGCTTAAAGATTCAAGTTTATGATATGATATAAAGTCTACAAGATAATATTATTGAAATTTCCAATAATAAATTATTAAAAGAAAATGTCAAATTTATAAATCAAAGTAATTCGAAATTTATCATATATCATATCAACCTTTAAGGATTATGATTGGTATGCATGTTAAATTGAAGCTTAAAGATTCAACTTTATGATATAATATAAAATCTATAAATAATATTATTGGAATTTCCAAAAATAAATTATTAAAAGAGAAATTGTCAAATTTATAAATCAAAGTAATTCAAAATATATCATATATTAAAATATATTGTTTTTAGGAATCCTATCAACGTCGACAAGGATTCATACAACGACTCATATTCAGTTCAACGACGACGAGAAATAGAAGACATATTAATATGTTATAGTACTATAGAGGGTAAGCAAATGGAAAAACATTTTTCTTCACAAATTAAAATTTATTGTCTTTATAGATTTTAGTGCTTATCGAGATCCAAGATTAGGCTCATGGTACATCACAGATCTATGCCAAGTATTTATGGAGCATGCCCATGACACCGACATAGAGCGTCTTTTAAAAATGGTCGATCAGAAATTACGTGATCGAAATCACAAAGATATTTGGCAAACCAGCAACTATGAAAGCTTAGGTTTTAAACTTTGCTATTTAAATCCTTGTTGATTTTTATTTCTTCATATTAATTTATTTTTCTTTTTTATTTTAATAAATAAATTATTATATTTTTACAATAAATAATACTATTATTATGTTAATAATAATTCTGATGAAATAGGCTGATATGAGCTCGAGTTTTGCACAAAATATTTGGTCATTTTGCAAATTGGTCATCTTTACATTAAATAATGGTGCAGCTTGCCAAATATATGGTGGCCAGTCATAATTGCATGGGCGCTTTCAAAAGACACCTTTCTAAGTTCTGATAAAGCAGACTTCGCAGAATAGTAACTATACAGGGTGTCTTAGCGAGACCGGTCATTAGACGTTTCTGGAGTTCTGGGCAAAATAAAAATTGGAGACTTCAGATTTAAGTATGTATTATCAATTGCGTTCTCTTCGACTAAAATATTTTCAGAACACTTCCGATTATAATAATAATAATATCTTTATTGTGTATAAACATATAGTATTAGACTCGTACAGAACATGACAAACAATATCAAAATCACACACTACTATTAAATAAAATCTTTCTCAGTGAGAAATTCGGTCAAATACTCGGTGCACGAGTAGTAAGCTCTGCGCGTCAAAAAAGCATGCAATTTACTTTTAAATATATTTAATGGTAATCCGGAAATCGCCGCTGGCAACTTATTAAAAAGCTTTACATCTACTATATTAATACTTTGGCGACCTTTAGATAATCTCGAATACCTCTGTAAAATTTTATTTCTGTTTCTTGTGGGATACCGGTAGTCGCCACCTAATTTATTTTTTTAAATGGAACACCTGTATATTTTTACATATTTAGATTTGTCTACTTTCAAGGTTTATAAATAACTTTACTTTTTGCAATTTGATTCGGCCGTTCTCGAGTTATTCGAATTTTTCTAGCGTTGCCAACCTTACCGATATAGAAGATTGTCTACAGACATACGACTTAATCTACCGATTTTCAAAATTTTAACAAAGTATTATGAAACACATCGTACTTAAAATCAATACAATTGCGACAAAAATTGTACTTTATGGGAATACCCTACTTCTATTGCATAAAAGTATGTACCAACGATACGGCAATGTCGCTTGAGCAACGTTGCCAGATCGTTGGTATATACAGTACACGTCATAAGTAAACCCCCTGCTCAATTTGAAGACGGTTCAAAATATAATATTGTCAAAATAGATATTGACGCATCTAAGAGCAAAAATGCAAGAGAGCAATATTGTTAACAATAAAATTTGCTACAACTTTTATTGTAAAAGTTTTTTTGTAAGACGCAGCGATTCTCGGGTATTACCTTTAATAACTTGAAAAAGCAACAAATTCATCAAATTTGCATATTTTCGTATCTACCACGATATTGATATATCTAAGAGCAAAAGTGCAAGAGAGCAACATTGTTAACAATAACATTTGCAACAATTCTTGTTATAAAAGTTTTCTTATAGCAAGCTCCAATTCCCAAGTGTTACCTGTAACAATTTGAAAGAGCAACAAATTCATAAAATGTTCATATTTTCCTATCTATCTCGATATTGACGCATTTAAGAGCAAAAATGCAAGAGAGCAATATTGTTAACAATAAAATTTGCTACAACTTATATTGTAAAAGTTTTTTTGTAACATACTACGATTCCTAAGGGTTACCTTTAATCACTTGAAGAAGCAACAAATACATCAAATTTTCATATTTTCGTATGTACCTCGATATTGATACATTTAAGAGCAAAAGTGCAAGAGAGCAATATTGTTAACAATAAAATTTGCTATAACTTTTGTGCTAAAAGTATTTTTGTAACATGCTGCGATTCCTAAGGGTTATCTTTAATCACTTGAAAAAGCAACAAATTCATCAAATTTTCATATTTTCGTATCTACCTCGATATTGATGTATTTAAGAGCAAAA